GGTAAGCCGTAGACTTTAAAAGTTCCCTGTGTATGTAATTAAAATATAATGATGAGTGCTGAATTAGCAGTCACCATGACAAAAATATTTTGCTGTGTAAAATGATTGAACCATGAACTTCAGCAGTGTAAACTTCTCCATATTGCTTTAATCTTTGCAGGAAAGGCAGGGAGAAAAGAAATTCATGGGAAGAAAGAGTCGTTTAAATCTTCTGTGCTTTTTGAATGATCATATCTAATATTTATATTAATCTTATTTGTAAAAATTCACTGAATTTTGATTAAGATAGCTTAATTTTGCTGAGTGATGGTTTTGTGCATTAAATTTATTTGAAAGAAGTGAAATTTGACTGAAAGTTGTTCTGTTGTCCCCAGATTACTTGGATCTTGACATACAAAGTTTGTCTGTGGCAATGAATGTGTAACTCATTTTTCATAGACTGTTATTCCTTGATTTACTTGCCAGCTGGCAAGTAAATGGTCAAGTATTGCACTAAAGACCTAAAATATTACTGGTCAAGACATCACACAGTTGTCATTTATATGAATTTCCTGTATTTATCCCAGTCTATTTAAACCATTAATTATAAAGTGTTCTTGTCTTCTAATTTCATTCTTAACTGAATTCCATAGACAATTTAATTTCCATATTAGGTCCTCTGAACTAGCATCATAGTGGACATTTCTTGAAGTGTCTGCCAACTTATGCTAATATTCTATGACTAGATTTAAGTTTGCTTTTATAATAACCCAGAGAGATGGGTTATTATATTTAAGATTTTTTTAAATAGCCTTTCTAACAAAGGGAAATAATTTATCAATTTCAGTTTTCATTTGGAGTAACAAACATCAATTGACAATTCTCATATATATCTTTGTTGTTATTGAGGCTTGTAGACATCAATTATATCCATAAAACCTAAAAAAATATAAGTGAATGGATAATCATATTTGCTAATATGTATTCTGGGCCTGATTAATGGTTGAAGCAGTGAAATCCAGAGAAAACATAGGATATAGGAATAAAAACCATCATAAAGTATGTTATTTTTTCTTCTGAATAGATATATATGTATGTAAATGTTTTATTTAGCATCTTGAAAAACATTTGTAACTAAAGGAAATATTATTTTTATCATTCATGATGATTTAAGGAGGATTTCTATCTCAGAATCTTAAAAAGTTTTAACTCAGTGTCTTTTACAAAGGTTGTGTAATACTTGCCTCTTTCAGCCACATAAAAGTAAACTGTCTTTTTATATACCACTGAACTTGTTTTTTGGTGGCCTTGATGTAACTAGTGCCATAATCTGTTATTTCTTCTTCAAAATGACTGTTGTACCCTGTTTAAAAGTTCACTGTGGCTCTTGTTCATTAACTAACATTTGCACATATTGAGAACAAGAAGCAGAAAGGAGAATATGCAATGAAATGAGATATAAAAATGTGTAAAATCACGTATCTTACTGGTTTTGGCAGACAGAATAGCTGTAGAGAAATGTTCGCTGTTTTAGAATATGACAAAAGCATATGTTGCTTGTTCTTGTACATACATATAACAGTGATCTGAGTCATTTTCCCAGCAGGACAAGAAGGGGTACATTTTGCTTAGGTAATGTTATATTCCAGTTGAGTAGAAATTTAGCACTTAAAGCTATATAGATTTGTGTGCAATATCTTATTCTTTCCTCAGATAATTTAAAATAGTCCCTTGTACAGTACAAAAAATTGATCGTTTTTATAAATTTTTTTACTCAGATCTTGTATGCAGTTTAGTAAGTATTTTATATTCTGTGTGCCGTACTTTCTTTTAATTTGGATTGAATTTAAAGCTGAAATTGTTTGATAGCCTATCCAAACCAGATAATTTCTACTGAGAACAGAATTAATTTTGGTTTGTATATCAGATGCCAGTTTCTTCTATAACAGTAAAATACGATGATTTGTCCTATAATACTTACGTAGATGAATTGTTAGTAGGCAAATCAGAAAAGCCAAAACTAAATAAATTATTACATCTAATGATCTGAAATCCTTCTCAAACCTTTCAAAAATTCTCTTATTTGAAGTTCTGATACAGAAAATAATCAAATTTCTCAGTGCCTCCATGCTAGGCTTTTCAACAGGCATGCAAAGTCTGTGAGTGTTGGAAGGAATCTCTTCTAGTCTTATTATAGGCTGACCAAAAATCATCCAGTACTTTCATCACCTTATGTATTGACAAATCTGACAATTTGTCCTTCAGTCTGAAAGATCCTTCCACAAAGGGTTGATTATAAACTCTCATGAAGTATTTCCCCTTTGCCTCATGCAAGTCCTTGTTTGAGTGAGAGACTAGAGGAAACCCAAACTAAATAACACAGTGAAATCCATTACTCTGGATCCTTCAGAAAATGACAGATTGTCATGCTCCCCTCTTGTTATGATTTTCGGGGAAGTATGCTATAATGTTCCTGACCTCAAGTCAGCAAGTGTCATTCAGACCTCCCAGAAAAAAATGGTCTGGACAACCCATGTCTCTTCCATTTTTAATAATAACACTAGAAATGTTCAGGAAACAGCTAGTTACTTCTCATAAAATTCTGCTATTCCTTTTGGAAGTATCATATTAAAAACATAAACTGCAGTATAATGTACAGTAGCATTTTCTAGTCAGACAGTTGGCCTTGGCCCATTGATCCAGTCTGTCCAGATCCCTCTGCAAGTCTTTCTACGCTCCAGCAGATCAACAATCCCACGCAACTTGGTGTCATCTGCAAACTAACTGAGGGTTCATTCGATCCCCTTGTCCAATTCATTGATAAAGATATTAAACAGGACTGACCCCAACACTGAGGCTTGGAGAACCCCACTAGTGACCAGCTACCTACTGAGGTGGCACCATTCACCACCACCCTCTTGGCCCAGACATCCATCCAATTTTTAACCCGGTAATGGGGTACACCTGTGCAAGCCATGGGCTGCCAGCCATCCCAGGAGAATGTAATGGGAGACAATATCAAAGAGTTTCCTGAAGTCCAGGTAGATTAAATCCACAGCCTTTCCCTCATTCACTGCATGGCTTACCTGGTCGTAAAAATTTCTGTCTCTTATGGTAAATGAATGTTTTCCTGCAAGGAACTGCTTTTTCATTTGATGATTTAAGAGATGCCCAAAAGAATTTTAGTACCTCTGTTACTGTCTATTAAACTTCTAAATTAAAAAAATAAAACTATTATTCAGGATATGTCAGTCCCAACCTTTTTCAGGACTTAGCTTTACTGATTAAAATCAAAAGCTGATGAAATCCAAAGACTTTACATTATCATGGAAGAAGAATCTAGGGCTCATTCTAAACCCTGATTTTGTCCAGTATTTTGTTGTAGAAAAAATCTGAATCCATTTGCTTTGTGTATATCCCTCTACTCATAAGGTATAGCAGTGACTGACAGAATATCACTGAATATTGTCCATTTCCAATAATATGAAGAAATGTTCAAGTTAAACAGAAACGATGTGGTTAACTTTCTAGTGGGCTAAACTGAAGAAGAGAATGGCACTGATAAATCTTTTATTTTTTTTCTGCCAACAGCCACTCAACTATGAAAAAAAGAAATCATATACACTTAATATAGAAGGAGCAAATACTCACCTTGATTTCCGCTTTTCTCACTTGGGACCATTCAAAGATGTAACAATGTTGAAGGTCATCGTTGGCGATGTGGATGAACCTCCACTCTTCTCTATGCCTTCTTATGTCATGGAAGTTTATGAAAATGCGAAGATTGGAACTCCTGTTGGCACAGTAACAGCACAAGATCCTGACACTGCAAACAGTTTAGTGAGGTATAGTAAGTCCAAATTATATGAGATCATATTCCACAAGTTAAAGGGTCAATGAGATCTAGGATGTATGAAACTATGTCTTTTATTTTAGTACATAAAGGGAAACATAGGTCAGAAAAGTGTCATGATCAATCTGTGTGCATTAGGTTTAATAACATAATCTTCAACCTTCTGGCTTGCACTAAAATTCCCATTGAGGCATTGCTCTGGGCAGAGGTCTGAGCTGCCAGTCAGTATCCTGCCACTGCTTGCAAATCTGTTAAGGATCATAACACTGTTTTTCCTTTGTTATGTCAGTATTGTGCTGGCCTTCTGCACACTTGGTGCACTCTAGTTGTCCTAACTGCTTGTGCAAGACAGCAGCTCGTTTAGATACATCTTTCCTGAGAGAAGCTGATCATTTTTGCAAAATTTTGTTCAAGAAGGAACCCATTATTTTGTGATATGCTTCAGCTTTAGTGAAGTATCAAAAGAATAGAATGGGTGTAACAGTGATGCTGCTAGGGGTATGTCATCTCCAATTGTAAGGTCTAGGGCAAAGAGAAGTGCCAAGAAAGCACTTACAGCATCAGATACATCATTTGAAATATAAATGAATATGTGAAGGACTGGGAAGGAAAGATTTTGATAGTATTTAAAATTACTTTTACACTTAAAGAAAATATTCTCATTAAAAGAAAGAAAAAAGAAAGAAAGATTTGTGTGTTGCCACTCTGGCCAGAATACTTACAATAACAAAACTGGCTTGGCAATAGTTCATGGGCTGAACTAAGGAACAGAAATCAAGGTGGAAATACTCATACAGCAAGCCTGAAAAGCGTTGATGCTGGAAAGATACATATGTGTTACTTTGACTTCTTCAAATTTAAGAGCGTTTGGATTTAACCTTGAACATTCAGAATTTGGGGTTTTAATATGCTACTGATTAAAATTTATTCAGCTATAATATAAATTGTTTTCAACTATAATGCAATCTAATATTTTTACTGGCTTTATTTCTGGGATGAGTTACTTCCCAAACTGTCATGCTGTCAAAATTCGGTGGAGTAATACATGGATTTTATGTCTCGAAGGTGGTAGTAGATTTAAAATGTTTCAAACAAATTTTTTGTGAAAATGTATGTGAATCTATTCCTTTTTATAACATAATGGTATAGACTTCGTTGAAATCATATGATAGTATACTTGGAAACAGTTTTTCTGAAGCTAATTGGGCATTGTTGTCTCCTGAGTTGAAATCTGCTGGGTATGTGTAATAGTCTTGGTAAGATGAAACAATTTCTGCAGAACAATGAAAGCATCAGGTTTTTATGGTTCTCATGTGCTAATAGCCTTAGATTCAAAATGTTTAGTGTCAGACAATCAATATATGCAATTTCTTAGTAGCAAGGCATTGCCTTTGAAAAATTGTCACTATGGTATTTGTGTCTAAATCATAACATAAAAAAGAAAACTTTGCTAAAAATAACTGCCAAGTAGGTTTAATACTATAATTCTGAAGCAACCAACACCATCAGACAAATTAGCCATCCTGGTAGTTTGGAATAGGAATGGCAAGTGCAGATTTGACTACTTCCTCTGTAATTCAACTGTCTGTGGCCCATAAGAGTTTTGTCTAGAAAGAGGTAAGACAACTGTGGTTAATGGGAAGTAGCAGCAGTTTGTACCAAGGCTGGGAAGGCCAGAGGTAGTGAAACAGTAATTACTGAAGGCAGTAATTTGTAGATAGAGACATCAGACAAAAAATTATTTCTAAATACTTTGCTGCTTTTTTTTTGACTTTTTTTTTCCCAAACATGTATTTGTAACCAGTGATTGAGGACAGAATATTAAATATCTGTATTATTCACATAATTGAGGGGGAAAAAATTGTCCCTACCTTTGTCTATACTATTTTCCCCTCTATTGACATTTATTTTTGCATTGTTCCTTCCATCCTCCTCTCTTTCAATGGGGAAAAAAATATAGTGCTAGCAATACATACCAAATCACAACACTCTGAAAGGAGACAGCTCTCAGTTACATGTTGGTGGGGCAAGGGCAGTAGCAGCTTAGATATCCTTGATGTATCATTGCATTGTGACCAGGTCTACTCTCTAGGCAGGCTTTTCCCATCGTGGTGGAACTGACAGTGAATGTCATTTGTGAGGGTTCAGGTTTTTTATGAAGAGGCTGGTTCTATAAGGCCTGAACTAACATATTAGTGCAAAAGTATATAAAGAAGCACCAGGCTGGATTGGTGTGCCCTCAAGTTGTCCTTGAGCTTCCTCCTTCAGGAGGATGAAGGCCACTCTGGGAATGGGCAATTTTAACTCCCCTTCCCTTACCTCACTTTACACAGACACTGACATGGCACAGAAGGGCTTTGTGTTGTTTCAAAATTTGGCTGCAGCTTGGGAAACTAAGTGGAAGTGGCATATGACCTGAGAAGTGAGACAGTATGGGCGGAGCTGCTGCTCCACTTGGTGGCAGGGTCCTGTCCCATGCTCCACTCACAGTGGCAAGCAAAGGTTCAACTCGGATGAGGCTGTGTTTCTTGGAAGCATTCGCACAATGCACTTATGTCCTTCTGTGCTGGTTTGCAAGAAACATCTCTGCAGTTCATCTGAAATCCTGATGAGCCTGATAGTCAGAGGGTTACAAGGTCATGTCTTCTTTGTTTCCACACAATTCCTAGTTAATTGAACATAAAAATAGTGGTTATAAAAATAAACCCAAGAAGATTCAATGTAGCTTTCTTAGAAAGCACAGATCAATCTTCAGGGAAGATAGCTACAGATAGGACCTGCACAGCTGATCTGTGTGCAGAAGGGAAGTAACCTCAGACAAATGGCTCAGATACATCTCCAAATACTATGAGGCTACAGGACAAGCTATGAAGATGCAATTTGCTTATCAGTCTTTCCTAATCCACTTATGCATCCTTTCCACTCTATGAAGACACTTGTTGCTCTGTGTGAGATTGATGAAGCATTAAGCGCACACAGTTGCAACCATATCACTTTGCTGTTCAGCTGCTAAAAGAGATACAGTGCTGTGATTTGTTCACTACCCAATTAAGTAACAGTTTATTTTGATGGCAGGAAGAATTCTTATAACCAGAAAAATGGTTGGAGGAGTAGCTACAGTAATTAACAATGCTGAAGAGAAATCTTTTTTAAGAACTTATTTGAACTAAACCCAAAAATAAATAGCAACCTCCATTGTTATCAGTAGAGAGGGAGCTGAGGGGATATTTGTCCTTATTTCCTCACTGCAATTTCATCACAGGGATTTCATCTTGTTCCTGACCTGAGTAGCCTTCAGAGGGAACTGACTTTGTGCCGGTGCTTGTACTAGTGTTTTAAAGAATTTTTCTTTTTAAGTTGATTTTTTTTTTCTTCAAATAGATAGAAATACCTTTTCAGGGAAATTCTTCAAAATACTCTGTTTTGAAATAAGGTGTTTTATTCTATTGAAATATGAAAAGCAAACTTAATAACAGAAAGAATAAGAAAGAAATGTTATGAGTAGTTTGAAAACCAACCATTTACTTAAAAAAATATTTCCTAGATTAACAGAAAGCATCCTAGATTGTAATTCATTTACAGGTATTACTGTATTGCTGCCTTGTTGGAACATTTATGAGGAAGTAGTCCCCTTTCATTGCATTGTGTCAAGTATTTTGCATCCATACCCAAATCTTTTGTTGATTGAAAAGGTCAGGGTTAAGTCATGTCTTATATCTGGTATGCAAGCAGATCTTGAAAGTTCCCCATTCAACATGGGAGAAAGCATGACTATTAAATACTCCAATTATGACTTTATTTTAGCCTATTATTCATTTTAAATCTCTCCATACCTGCTTAGAAATGGTATTTTTTTCTTCCTGAAACCATACAGAGAAGACTTGCTTGGAGATTATGGGTGAAAAAAGCTTTTTATTGGCAAGTCACTTCTGTGCATTGAGAGCAGCTCTAGGGTCCTCAAGGCTGTGGCAGTGCCTGTTGAAACCCTGCCATCTTCCTGTAGGTGATTCTTGGGTGGTGAGTTTGCCTAGGCACAGCTCATACTCCAGGTGGTCCTTGGAGCTTTCTGGCTGCATCTGGTCTGTTTTCAGTGGAATCATTTTCAGAAACATAGTATTGCAGCTGTTCCCCAAGCCACCTCCAAGCTAGGGATTCAAAAAAAGAGCAAAGGCTAATGATACTTTCTGAAACTCTGAGTCCATAGTGAAGATAGTTCCATGACATAGGTCAGTTCCCTCATATTAACTTGATCCTGGTTTCATACTGCACTGTGAGGAACTGAAAGTCTTTATGAACATTGTACCCGTGACAGAGTAGTGTTTGAGAAATAAGACAGGTTGTTAGAGAACTACTGTAACATCACATCATCCCTTTGGTTGCTCTTATGCAATCTTTGTCATGCAATGGTACAGGAGGCAAATCACTGTTTTGAGCACTAGTGATAGAGCCTCTGTCCTCTCTGATAATTTTTTACTCCTACTTATTATATTTGACTTAAGTCATTTGTATTTCTGGGCAGGAATGTTGTCTTTCCAGTATTTAACAGAAAACTTGTGGTGAAAGGGGATGGATGCTGGTCAGCATGCTGTCTGTGACAGTAGCTTCAAACAATAAGAACTATAAGCATCTTCCGTTTTGCTGGGTCTTTGGATGCTTGCTTTGTTATACTAATACACTGGAATTCAAGTAAATTTTGTGTTGGACCCTATCCAGGCTGCAATATACCTTACTATAATGAATTTTATTTACTAGGAATTAAATTGATTACTATAGGAAACAGGTCAGAAAAAGCTTTTTTTGGTTTGGTTGTTTTGTTGGGCTTTTTTTTGGTGAATATCAGACATTTGTTTTTGTGCTAAGTTGGTGAGAAATACAAATACTGTCTCAGCCCTGATTCTGGCTTCTAAGTTTTCTAATGGTCATATGGTATTGCTTTATAATGGATGGCATGTCATAACATGTATGAGACATGTATATGCTAATGGATACAGA